AGAGATAGGTGGATCTCTGTGAGTTTGAGTCCAGCCTGGCTTACAAAGTGAGTTCTAGGGTAGCCAGAGCTACCCTGTTGAAAAAAATAAGAAGTAAATAAACAAAGTCAAGGAATGTGCTTAACATGCTCAAGGAAACAGTTCCTAAAAAGTATTAAGAGTAGCCAGGGAGTTGTTTCCCAGCAGGTGGGAGAAAGAGGCAGGTGGATCTCTGAGTTCAAGGCCAGTCTGGTCTTCAGAGTGAGTTCCAGGACAGCCAAGGCTACACAAAGAAACTCTACCTCAAAGAACCAAACCAATAAATGAATAAATAAATAAACAAACAGACAGACACACAGACAAACCTATTAACAGCAATTATTTTATTTGTAAGATATACTTTGCAAAATAATTTCACATCCTAAATATGTCTAAATGACTAAAATTAAGCCTAATATTTAGTCAATCTCAGACGAGACTAAAGTTTTTGCTGTTACTTAAATAGCATGTTATTTGTTACTGAAACATAATTCATTATATTTTTTAAAATTATAGAGTTGTATGAGTTTTCCTCTTCCTCTTCCCCCGACTATTGTGTGGGTATCCTGGAAAGATCCCTTGGGATCTCAGTCTGATTTGTAAAATGCAGGCATTACCTGGTCACAGTAGTGATAAACATTAGAAATGATGGGGACTTGTTTTCTGGAGTGATGACTGGCATATAGTAAGTCAAACAGAATGAGAGTTACTAATGAATTGTTTACAAGAATTGTAAGTTGAGAAAAACTGAGGCAAATACTAAGAAGGACCCTATGCCTCTGTTAAATTTATATTATTGTCTTATTACAAGATTTTCTAAGAAAGGAAAGATTTTTTTTTTATTCTTTGATTTTCACTGACATCATTTTTTAAAAAGTAGTCTCCATCACTGTCTAAGAACTTATCAAGGGACCAGCGTCTCTTGCTAGATATTTTGCTTTTCATATGTATGGGTGTTTTCAGGTAAACAGACTCACAAATATTATTTGAAACTAAACATGTACTCAGATATAAAGCAGTTATTAATGCTGTTGTATTCAAATCAGTTACTGAAGCAATGAAAACGAAATTACCTAATTAAAGCAAATCACAAACAAACCTTCGATGTTTGTGTGGGGAATAATTGAAGTGGTAATTACGCAGTAGTAATGCATTTCTTTTAAGGATGGCGACCCAGAAACTCTGTTTGGAGACAGGGCAGAGCTGTAAGACTTACAGATTTTCCTCCTTAGCTGTGTCCAGAGTGATGTACCCTTCTTTCCCTTTATCTTCTTCTTGAATGTGAATTTGTTTGCTTACATGCTAGAGTGAGTCAGTGAGTGGGCTGCTGAGGTGGGTTCTGACATTTAATGAGTTGCCATACTAATTGTCCTGCATGCCCTTCATTATACTTCTTTTGTGACCCATATCGCAGAACTTTGTGTCAGACATGTATCAGACTGGTATATCAGACTCTGAAGAATCAAGGATAAGACAGAATGTCTTTCCCACAGATTTCATAGCTATATATATATAGCTATGAATTTTAAATTTTAAAAACTTCATATATATATGAAGTTTTTAAAATTTTTAATGTGTAGACATTAACTAGCCTTTGGTCAAAGTTTCCTGAGCGTACACATGATCAATATCTATTGCTTACCATTTTGTTGAGCAGTGTTTTCTCTAAAAGTTGGGAAGATTTTATCTCTTATCTTCTCTCTCATTACTTGGTGACTGTGGCCCAGCCTATCTCCCTAGGAAGACGAGAAACTGCTTGAGGACAGGGAAAATGATCATTCATGTCTGATTTATTTATTTATTTTTGTCTTCATTTACTACTTTGTAAACTAGGACAAGTTGATGCTTATCGTTGTTGGTTGTAGGGATCCATACAGGAACCTTAGAAAGCTTTTCTTACAGTTTCTAATGCATTTCAAGAACTCATTTTGTTTGTTTTGTTGTTGTTGTTTGGTTGGTTAGTTGGTTGGCTTTTGTTTGTTTTTGTTTTTTAATGGGTCCCCCGTTTATAAAAAGCTAGCCCAATGTAGTTTGTAAAGAATGCTGCCTATGGATTTTGGAATACATAGCAAGCTAATCTGTGTGGATTGGCTGAGTGAATTAAACCCCTATCCTAGTGTCTCCTGATCAGATACCCACGGGTTTGGCCATTTCAATTATGCTATCTGTAGAGGACACCAGAAATGAATCACATCCTCCAGTTTTAAAATGGATGCTGAGTGAGCTCCAGCTTAGACTTCAGCTAACTGTTTTCTCCATACTCACCCAAGCAGAATACTCAATTGGAGTAAAAGCTCAGGGTGCTTGGGGAGTTTATGTGGCTTCAAAAAATACTTCTTCCTGGCAGCATCATTATTGTTTAGAGATGACTGCAGGAGTATTTGGTGGAGCATATCCAGATGCTCATACCTTAGCTAAAGGGGCTACCAACTTGCCCCCAGACAGTTTTGTTATTTATGGGTCATAACCATGAGTTAAGCTTTTCTTATGGAAAAGGCAGAAACACTTAAAGTTGGAGTTGTAAAGTCACTGTTATTAGTCTTCTTTCTAATGATGTTTCGATCTCCCTGATCCAAGTGTTTTCAAACATAAAATGGTCCTTCACGAGACACATGCAAATGGCCTGGAACACTATTGGCTTTATTCAATTTTATCCCGAATTTAGAACTGTAAGATCCATGGAGAAACTTATGACACTAACGGTTCTTTTTGAAACTCTCGGACTGCTCCGTCTGTGCTGGAGGTGGAGACTTCAGTTTTCCTCCAGCAATTGTGGTAATTATCACATCTGTCCATGGTGCCGTTATTATAGTAGTACTTGGGGTGAGAGACACAGCCTTCCCAGAAGACCTCCAGTTTAATATTTGTCTTGAGATATTGTTTAAATGTGTCTAAACAATATCCAAGTGGTTTGTCCAATGAGCAACCATTACCTAGTCTGTCAAGATCCCTAGAGCTAAAAGGTGTAAGGCGGTGATCTCATTAGTTTAGAGAACATCAAACTGTCATTGTATCTTAACATGACATCTTTTCATTGTGTTTATGTAGTGTGTGAGTGTGTGTGTGTGTGTGTGTGTGAACATGCAGTCATACATGAGGTGGTCATTGGACAACTTTCTGGAACAGGTTTCCCTTCTTTCCTGTAATCCCTTCCCTGCCATCCTGTGGGTGGTGAGCATCTATACCCAGCCATCTCCCAACCCCAGGCCATTTCTCAACCCTGAATCTTTTCTACCCGAAGCTTTTTTTTTTCTTAATGTTACAACAAAATTGTATGCTATTTTCAAGCTCATAAAATGTAATTTGGTTGGCACAAAGATCTGTGAATTAAGTCTTTAATATTTAACTGGGAACATTGCATAGGAAATCAGCAGGTTTAATCGTAACTGAAGGTGCAGGTTTGAGTTTGTAAATCTGTAGTAGCAACTTAATGGTAATGGGTCCTATGCATTTGCAGGTTGAAAAGAACCTTTTGCTGCGCTAATCAATGTGTAGTTGTCTGTCTTTTTTTTTCCTTTTCTTTATTGTGTATTTGTTCCATTATAAAATAATTTTAATGTGCTGTCAAAGTTTGTTTTAAGTTGCAGTTTAAAAGTTAGGTGGCCCCTGGTGACCTTGCCATGTTCCAGTGGACATTTCCAGTCCAGTGGTGACATAGATAGCCCAGGTTAAACTAAATGAGTCACAAAACCAACCCAAAAATTGTGACCCTGGGAAAGGGATAGGTCTGAATGGGAGATGAGTGTTAGTGGAGGCAGAAAGGAGGGAAGAGAGCGGGTGGAGGAGAATATCCAGAATACACTATATACTTGTCTAAAATTGATCAACAGCAAATTCAGTTAAAAAAAGATTCAGTTTTAAGGACAAAACCAAGCAACTCCATGGCCCTTAAGGACGGTTGGAGTTCGCCGGCTCCACCTGCTTTCCTTTCATTGTTAAACATATGGCTATTTGAAATTCTAATGTGTTTTCAGGATCACATGTGTGAATGGTCACAACTCTGGAGACTGTTGCTGTTAATTGTGCCTATCATTTTATTGCAAAGCACTTACCGTTTTAAAAGCCCTCATGCTTGGAGTAGGGTGGGCTCACTTCTTTGCTGTCTGTGAAGCACCAGCTTAGCCGTGAATATTGGTTTCTAATTTTCCTTTTCTACTCTGTTTGCATTTTCTGCATTGTTGTCTACTGAGGTAAAGGAGATGACCCACAAAGTTAGCATCAGCCAGGAGAAGATGTGAGATGTGTCATCCTCTCTAAGGGAAGGAAATGGGGAAATTGCCCCCATCTACATATGTCTTGTAGTCAGTGGAATAGAGACTCTACTAATTCCCTTCATCTTCAAACAGCCAGTCTGTCTCCATCAACAGATCCTCTTCTCTCAGGATCTCTATACAGGCTTCAGATAGATTTGACAACAAACATCTCTAGGACCATTCTTTTCTGCAAACTTTCCAGTCCTTCGTCACCTAGTGATTCTCAAATAATTCTTGAATGGAAGCTGTTTTTACCATACCCTGTCCTATAATTTAAGTTCACAATCATTTAAGCCTAAAATGTTGAGGTCATTTCTAACTAGTCTTTTGACTTTCCCTCTGCCTTCCTCATTGCCAATAATCTCTACAATCCACAGAGCTGGACTTCCTAAGCCGGAATCAGGTTGCAGCTCCATTGCTGAGTGGTGTAAGAACTTTTCATTGAAGCAGAATAAATGCAAGACCATTTTCAAAGTCTGTAAGGTCTCCTTTCTATTCAGTCCTTCCTGCTTTCTTTCTCTTGAGGAGACAAATTAATTCCCCTCTCAACGATTCCTGTGTCTTCACTGAAGATGTCGTTCTTTCTTAACTCAGTTCTTGGGTTGCCTCTAGCTTGAAGCTCAAGGATTATACAATCCCTTCCTAGACATCTGGTAATATTTCCCAATTTTGTTCCCTTCACACAGTCTGAAATAATTGAATTTATGTTTTTTTTCCTCCCAATACGAACTTGAGGAACATTATCAGTCTTGTTTACTGTGGTAGCCTCAATATAGTAGATAATAAACATGGACTCGTGGATTAGTTGGCTCAATCTCTTGCTCCTTCAGTGTAAAGAGTTTTCTGTGAAGCAAGCATGGTATTTTATATTATGATGTCCACTTCAAAGCCCACACTGTAGAAATCTGTGTACAGAAACAAGAGCACATGGAAGAGATGCAGTGCTCAAATGCCCTATCTTGTGGCTTTAACCGGCTGTTGCTTTCTCCCACCCCGTTTCTCTGTGTGTTTGCTTCATTTACAACACAGAACGCGTACGTGGATGCTCTGTACCACAGCAGACCACAGAGAATATATGTATTTTTCCTGAATTGACTGCTATATTATTTAGAATATGCTTGTATGTTAAAAAGCAAACAAAAAGCCAAGTTTACTCTCTCAAAATTTCACTCTCACAAATCTGTTTTTTCCCCCACAAACCTATTTTGTTAATTTTACAACGGTAACTTTGTTTAGCTTCCCTATTTGATTTTGTATTATACTTAATAGTATTTTAATTATTGCGGTTGATTATCATTGTAATTTAATGGCTTTATAGTACTTAGGCAAGTAAATGCTTTATAACAACAATCAAATCTCATTTCTTCAGTTCTTAGGATGTTTGGAAATACACTTTTTGTTTTCAAAGTTAGTTAACTCTATAAGAAATACCCCACTGCATTTTAGAAAATCAAATGCATATAACTCAAAATTTTGATTAGGACATAAAAACATTCATATTATAGATTCTAAACTACTGTATTTGAGTTAGATTACCTATTTTCACTACCGTTTCATGACCGTTGTCCATCATGGCTCAAATAAGATGTTCAGAATGGGATTAGCTGTCTGGAGGGAGGTGGTGTTATCTAATCCCCACAGCTGGAAAATGAATATTGAGATATTAATTGATTAGTATTTTACACGTTGTTATCCAGTGATTAAGGAATGCTGGGTGGAACCAGCATAATTGATTTTTCTTTTGGAAAGTAGTATCTTAATTGTGATGGTTTCCCATGGGGTATCTAAGAAAAGTGATATCTAGCAAGAACAGTTTAGGGGTTACCAGAGACCTACCTTTGTATCTTAGTTATTTACAAAGCTTCTGGTGCAGATCTTGAGAGACGCTTGGCGCTATGTGAAGCATAGCTCTCGTCAGTGTCCCATTGACCCTGTCACCACAACCTGCCAGTAATGAGAGGCCTTTAATAAGCATAACTGTCTTCTACCTGCTTATTTACAGTTTTCATAGCTAATGAATTAAAAGTCCACAAGGACTTGATTGCTCACCTCTCTAATAGCAATTTACAGACAATAGGTGCAGTGGCTTTTACACACAGGCTCCTACAATAGCTTTTGATGTAAGGGGCTGCTCACCTTTCCGTCCTGTGGTTGGAACCAGAGAAACAGAAAATTGGTCATTTCCCGGCAGAGAGCAGTAAGTTTCAATTCAGTCAAAATGCTCTATGTACTGTGATAGGTTTATAATTATTACTCAAAGATTGATGTTTTTGGGGGTGAGTGTAAATTTGTGCAGTAGTAATCCATTAAGAAATCAATAATCGGGCCACTCTGATGTGTGATTCCTATTCACTGTTATAAATGTGTGCCAGAAGCTGAACCTAGTGTTTTTACGTTTGGTGTGTGCATGTGTGTGTGCATGTGTATGTGTGCGTGTGTGCGAGCGTGCGTGTGTGCGAGCGTGCGTCTATGTGCATGTGAGTGGGTGAAATCATAGTTGACTCTGAGAAATAAAGTACATGTATATTTATCTTTATTTTTGTGTGATATATGCATGTGTTCATGTGTATGCACATGTGTGTGTTTGTGCATATGTCTTCATGTACTTGTGCATGTTAGAGTGAGATATCAGCTGCCCTTCTTTTTACTATTTGAGACAGTCTCTTACTCAACCTAGAGCTCACTGATACCTTCAGGCTGGCTGTCCTGAAAGCCATAGGGATCCCTGTGTCCTTCATAGCACTGGGATTACAGGTACAGGGCTCTGCGTCTAGCTGTTTCTCTGGATGCTGGGAATCTGAAGTCAGTCCCACGCTTATGTAGCGGGCATTTTACCAATTGAGCCCTCATCCCAGGTCATCTTACTATTCTCTTTTGATCAAATGTCCACATATGGCACACTTGCTTAAAATTTGCATGTTTCCCCAGCTTTTTAGACACGTTCTTTTAGATAGTCCTGTCCCTTTTGCTGGAACATTGCTTTGTTGTTTAGTATTAGGAATAGTATTTATAGGCTTTAATTAAATCATTGTTTCTCTAATCTGGAAGTAATTTATTGCCACATCTGCATAGTTGGGGAAGTTGAAGATGCATGCTTTTTAAATTAAAATTCTAACCTTAAAGCTATGACCTCACAACAAACACATGTAAAGTTTACTTATAGTCAGTGCTTTTTAAGCATTAAGTTGGATGTCAGTGGAGGAAGTCAGGCATAATGCAGAACTGGCCCTAAAGAGCTTGTATTTCACTGAGAGACAACAGAGATCTGGGGAAGGGGAATGGATGTAAAGGCTCCTCTGCAGCCTTCTGCTCTGTAGCTGGCATCTCGGTGTTAATGGGTAATGGTGCTGGACATGATAAGGAGCGTGGTGAGCTTCATCCCACAGGATATTGCAACATTCTACAGAGTCTGAGGCTCCAGAGCAATCCATCTAAGTAGAGATTGTAAATCAAAATGTTGTAAGAACCAAATATTCAGTTAAAACAGTGAAGAAAGATGTAAAGCAAGAAGTAAAACCTGTTCGTTTTTGCATCACCAATGCTTAAGTATCCATCCGTCTCTTTTAATGTGTACTGTCGCATGCAGTGTCCACACATATTTCCCCTCTCCCAGTGACAATGCTAACAGGATTTTGTGGTGTGTGCTGATCCTTGGCTTGATATTTTTTTATTTAGATTTTTCATATTTACCCTTCATTCTTGGCCTCACATATTAGCTATGTATTCCAGGTATACAGACCTGTCCTTCACCGGTAGGTTTATCTGTTGTTTGTCTGATCTTCACTGATGAACATTTTGGTTGTTTCTAGCTTTCAGAGAGAGTGTCTGTGTCCACCCATGTCAGTGGGTGTCCTATGTCCCATAGGATGTCATAGCTCAGTTCTTTCAGGAAGATTTACTGTGCGTGGAAGTCCTGCAATGACCATTTTGGTAGATTAAGCATAGAAAATTGTCTTTTGAAAATATTACTAGTGTACATCACTCCTAACATTGTGTGATGTTCTGGGATTGATTTTGTTGTTGTTTTGTTTTGTGTTTTCACTTGGACAACAGTGTGTCTTCTCAGTTTTGAGGTATCTAAAAGGGAGAAAATGGCATGTGTATATTTAATGTTTTGAAAATATATACCTAAACATCATTTTACATTTGTTGGCAAAAGGTCTGTTTGAAATGTTTGTCACATACAAACACTTCTGCCTAATCATTCAGGAGACATTGTACTTTAAAACACTATTAAGAAATAGCAGAAGAGAAACATTTATGGATGGGGTGATACCCCCCCCCCACACACACACACACTGTGTAGGGGACATTTTGATTTCTTTGAAAGTGACTCAAGGCTGCTAGAGTCTGCATTGCTCCATCAATGTTTGTTGAGTTGTCTAGAAACCCACAGGCTAAGGCTAGCACGCTGAAAAGTTGAACCCCAGCTTTGTCCTTTATGTCTTCCTCATGCGAGAATCTTGAGTCTAGTGGGGAGCAGAGACAGTTCTTTGTGTGACGTGTTTTTTACATGCGATGAAGTGTGTGTTATGGCATTTGGCTTCCTCTGAGTCTGTCCCAAGGGAAAAAATGGTTCTCAAACTGTTGAGAAATATGCGTACAGGCACAAGTTTGCTCTTTAACATGAAGAGAATCCTGAGGTAGGAAAATCCTGTGTGTGCTGACCTCAGAATGGTAGTCTGAGGGGATGATTGACAACCCCCTTTTGCTCTGTGTGGGTAAAATCACACTTTAAAATATCAGATTGTCCAAAGTTCATTTCTGGAATACAAGTGTCCCCCCCTTTCTCTCTGTGTGTGTATTACATCTCTGCTGAAAATAACCCTTGAATCAAACACTTAGACACGACCCCAAAGGTCATTTAGAACAACTTCCTAAATAAAACAAGAATGTCTTTGACTGTGCGTGGCAGGTGGGCTCTGCAGTTTGACTTCTCTATTGCAGTGCTTGCTGAGGGAAGATTGTCAGTTTGATCAGCTGTGATTCCTAGAGAGCCCTTCCTTATGGCCAGCCCTCTTCTGCCTCCCAAAATTCCACTGTTCCTTTTCACTATGCATTTTCCCTCTAATTATCAAAGAGGAGCGTTGCATTGTTTGTTTGTTTGCTATGTTAGTGCTTGTGGACCAGGTTTTTTTTGTAGATTTTAAAAAAAATCCAACAGGTTTTTGTTTTAACCTTTATGATTTAAAATCTATATTAATTGCTTCTGAGGAATAATAACACATTAGACATGCTTCATGTTGTGATTTGTCTCTTGCCATCTTTGTCCATATACTTGCAAATAAATCATGCTGGTATGCTAAATAGCAGAAGATAAATCCTGAATGCTTTTTCTCTAATTTATATCTTATTCATGTTACCTGTAGGCATTTCAAATGTAAAGCTTTTAAATCGTTGACTTGGCAATTCAAATTTATTTCATATTTAAAGTGATATTTTGCTTGAAACCAATACATGTTTTGGAGACCAGTATCCTCTGATTTCCATTTATAATGTAGCACAAAGCTGTGTGTGTACATGGGAATTTGGGTAGCAATTCTGTTGTTCTAAAACGAAACACTTTGCGACATAAAAGTAATACAAAAAGGAACTGAGAAACAGAGTAGTGTTGGCGCATATCTTTAATTTAGCAATCCAGTGGCAGAGGGGCAGAGGGGCAGAGGGGCAGGGGGCAGAGGGGCAGGGGGCAGAGGCAGACAGATCTCCGAGTTTGGGGTCAGACCAGTCTATAGAGTGAGTTCCAGGACAGTCAGGGCTACAAAGAAATCCTGTCTCCCCTGTCTCAAAAGACAACTCACAACACACACACACACCCACACACACACACACACACACACACACACACACACACCCACACACACTCCAAATGAAGGGAGAGAAATATAGAGACATGTTACGGAGCTCATGAAATCATCTTTGAAGGTTTCGTTCAGCATTGGATGTGGAAATTGGGCACAGTTTTCCAGCTGACATTTCTTATGAAAGATTTCCAGGTGAAAAATGATAATACCAAATTTCTAAAAGTGCTTCTGGTCCCTGGCCTTTATTCCTCTGAGGATATTAGCAGTGTCTGAACTGGCTTACAACCCTGTCTTTTTCTCTTGCCTGAGTGGCAGTTTTACTGATCCCTTATTGGATTTACTGTTGTAATTCGATATGGAATTGTGCTGGGAAGCATATATTTCAATATGTTCACCTTAGCAGTCTAAAGCGTTGTTAGCATGGTGACTCACTCACATTTACCAGGGAAATTAGCTGGCTCTGTCTGTGTGAACACTTCAGGAGGAGCTAGCCCTAACTGCAGATACCATCTTCCAGGTCACCTGTGGCAAAATCCAGCACTACGCAGGCCTGGAATATTTTTTGTTTAGCCAGGCTGAATTTTGTTAGGTATGTTTTTGCTTTAGTTTGGAGAATTGTCTTCTTTGGAGATTCACTGGGCTGGGAAATTATTAGCTACTCATTTAAGAGGTTCATTAGCCTGCTTAGTTATACTACTGCAGATTTGTTAAGGACGCATGTGTAAGGTCAGATGGTATCCTGGAGGCTTCCCATCACAAAGAAATTATGAAATTTGGGGAAATAATGATCCTTACAGCCAAGCTGTTTGACAGTAATTATGTCACAAAGGTCCTGTTTGCCAGTCTTGCTTGATGATGAGAATCATCCAGGCTGGCTGTTAAAGTAAAGGTTTCTAGACCTTACCCCAGGTATTGTGAATCAGAATCCTCTAGGGAGGAGCCTGTGACTCAGATCTAGATCATCAGGAGGGCAGGTTTGAGAAACCTTATCAAGCAGCATTCTATGTGGGGAATGGGAGTGAAACTGATTGGGGCAGTGGCTCGAGGCTGCAGTATGCGTCAGACAGTGGCCCTGGCTTTGCAGCAGGAGACGGTGGAACATGACCAGATTCTGCCTTTAAAGTTCA